TGAACAGAGTGATAAATAAAAGGAAAAACAGAGTGTAAACTGTGACACATCCATTATCTTTTACCCGCTTCTTCCATTTTGGGTCACAGGGTTCACCGGTGCCCATGTCCAGCAATCACTGTGCGAGGAGCAGGGGACACCCCGGACATGTCTCCAGTCCATCACAGGGCCACATAGAGACAAACGAGACGAACAACCCTTCACTCTCTCACTCACACCTAGGGATAATTTAGAGTTACCAATCAGACTAACATGCATGTTTTTGGTCTGTGGGAGGAAACTGGAGTACCCAGAGAAAACCCACGCATACACGGAAAGAACATGCAAACTCCACCTAGAAAGGCCATTGGACTGAGATTTGAACCAGGGACCTGCTTGCTGAGAGGCAGCAGCTCTACCAGTTGTGCCACCGTGCTGCCCTGGCCCCCAAGATGATGTGTTAAATGTAAAATACTTTTTTCACTTGAATTTTTTTCAGTAATCTTTGATTATGATGTTAGAAGAGCAACAGTGAACATCAAATGAGACAAATCAAACTCTTTTTGAGGAACCTGTGACCAAGAAAAGATGTTGTGCATCTAACTTAAGGTAATGTAGATTCTGAAACTGGCCCTTAGTTTGAAAAAGGTTTTAATTTTGGCCACCTTTTGTAAGTGAGTTTGACACCGCTGGTCTAGGTGGACCCCAGGTACTTGTAGCAGTCCACAGTGTCCACCTTAGTACTGTTGATGTTGATAGGGTTGGGGGGGGGGGGGGGTGTCTTCTTCCTGTAGTCCACCTGCAGCTCTTTAGTTTGTCCAACACTGAGCTGCAGGTGGTTCTGTCCACCACACCTCTGTATTCAGCTTCCTGGTCACCAGTGATGCAGCTCACAATGGCAGAGTCATCCAGAACTTCTGCAGATGCAGGATTGTGAGTTGTACCTGAAGTCCGAGGAGTAGAGGGTGAACAGAAAGGGCCAGAGGACCGTCAGTGTCCTGTGTGTCAGTGCATTTGCAATGACATCCTCACTTGTAATTAGCTTGTACTATCTCAGATGCTGTTGAGATAATTAGCAGAGCTTAAATTTAGTTCAACATACCTCCAGGTTTTTAGCAGGACTTTTCTTTTTCTTAAGTTTTATTGTCACGGTTCCACGTGGTACAAAGTTCCTGTCCAGCTGATCCAATGCTTATTGTGTTCCTCTGTGTTTTTCCACCCCTCTGCCTTGTGACTTGTTACAGGCCCGTTCAGAGACTGTCTGGAGGCTCAGGAAGCCGGCCACAGCACCAGCACCGTGTACCTGATCAAACCTGATGAAGCACAGAGGACAGTGCAGGCCTGGTGTGAACAGGACATCGACAACGGGGGTTGGACTGTCATCCAAAGCAGAAGAGACGGATCAGTTAACTTCTTCAGAAACTGGGAGAACTACAAGGTGATGCCACTTCCTGTGCCCTGCTCGTCTGTCTCTTTAATCTCCTTCCTTTGACCAACATTTGAAGACCTGCCTCCTCCTAAAACAGCAGCAGTGCAAGCTTTTCTGGAGGAACCTCACATGGTCTTTGAGATCCATATCATGAATGATTCTGTTTCTCTTACTCAAAAACATAATGTTTTGTGATTCCCATTAAGAAATGTTGGAAGACCTACGAACAAAGTTTGTTCCACAGCTTAATACGTAAGGATTTATTTCCAAAACCGCTTCTGCTAAACCTTCCAGGATGGATGAATGATTGGTTCACTGCACCGCATCATATGGAGCTGTTTCATTAAATTCTTGTGAAAGAGACGAGCATGCTGCCGTTGGCATCTGTTCAGTCTCCATTCAGTCCAGCCAGACTCGTACATTTAAAAATGGCAGCTAATGTCACTCTTCAGAGCTAATTTGTCTTCAGCAGAAAGCCATCATAAACAGCACCACAGAGGAGCACCTATATTAAAATCTTCAGTCATTCGTCTGCAGAAACCTCCTTGTTCTCCACCAAGTGAAGTGTTTGTGCTCATAGATGAGTCACTGATCACTGGTACCCGGGCCAGATTCAAGAGCATCACTGACAACAACCTGAGGAGAACTTTCTGGACTTAACCTTATATGTGTTGTTGAGCTCAAATGCAGAAGAGCAAGAGGGTGAATCAGGAGAAGAACATGGATCTTTAATAAACCACAATACAGAAATCCAGGGGAAACCCAAGATGTGAGAATAAGACAGAGCTTGGTTGAAACAAACAGGAGGATCTGACGGAGCACCAGCAGAACACACACACTGAGAGGATGAACGTAAAACACAGACAGGTGTGCTAATGGACTGAGTGGAACCAGCTGGGTGGGAACTAAAAACAAAGATGTGGGAGAAGACAAGACCCAGCATTACGACACAGGGTGGCAGTCTTTTTTTTCATTTTCCTTTGAAGTGTTTCTGAATTATAGAAGCATGACCAAAACATCATCACAAAGATATTTGTCATGTTTTCCCACAACCTCTTCTAAACGAGGTTTGATGTTTCTAAATAATGCTTGTGTTTCTAAACTCCTCAGGGGATCAAATGGAAAACACGTTGGATGTTCTGTCATCTCATTGAAGTCTTCCCTTTCATTTTCCTTTGATCAGAGTGGCTTTGGCAACATAGACGGGGAGTACTGGCTCGGTCTGGAAGCCATCTACAAATTAGGAAGGCAGGGAGACTACAAGCTCCTGGTGGAGATGAAGGACTGGATGGACAAGAAGGTCTACGCCCAGTACAGCAGCTTCCACCTGGAGCCGGAGAGTGAGGGCTACCGCCTGCGGCTCGGCACCTACCAGGGCAACGCTGGGGACTCACTGAGCAGCCACAACGGCAAACAGTTCACCACCTTGGACCGAGACAAAGACACGTTCTCTGGTAAGGGTCTCTTCTGTATGAAATACTGAGACTGACCTTGGAAAGTAAGTAAGTGTTCGAGCCACCAGTTGATGAAAAGGCTCCTAAGATGCAGATAAAATGTTTAGTCGAAATGCCATGAGTTTGCATGTTCTCTCCGTGCATGTATGGGTTTTCTCCTGGTACTCCAGTTTCCTCCCACAGACCAAAAACATGCATGTTAGACTGATTGGTAACTCTGAATTGTCTCTAGGTGTGAGTGAGAGAGTGAATGGTTGTTTGTCTCGTTTGTCTTTGTGTCCCTGTGATGGACTGGAGACTGTCCAGGTGTCCCCCTCCTCTTGCACAGTGACTGCTGGACATGGGCACCAGTGACTCCCATGACCCAAAAAGGAAGAAGTGGGTAAAAATAATGGATGTGTGGATGAAAGACAAGCTAATGACTAGTCTGAGTGAGGCCAGAACTGAAGTGAATTGTCCTAAAACAACAAACCTCAAATCTTCTGTCAGTTTCAGATTACATAATAATTCTGTGAAAATTATCCTCATATTTCTCCTGAGAAGGTCCCAGAATTGTTACAGCTTTCTGCTAAACTTAAAGACACCTGCAAAGAACCCAAGAGGTCCATTTTAATCAACTGTCACTCAGAACCGTAGGCAGATGTTTGCATGAAGCACCACCATTGTTTTAGATCTGAAGTTGTTTAAAGACAACAGAAATCCACTTTGGTCTTGGTTCTGCTTGGACTAGCTGTTAGCTCGTCAATCCAGGCACATTACAAACTGAAGTCATTCAAAGAGATATCTACAACAGGTAAGATATTATTTGTTCACAACCCTTCCACAAAACCCACTTCAAAAAGAACCAAACCTTCCCTTTTAAAAATCACAGTGTGTGGTTTAAACATCTCAGAACAACTCTGTACTTTACTGTTGTGGTTCTCAAAAGCTCTCAACTTCCTTCTCACAACAATTATTGATTCTTTCATAAAACAACCAGTTTGTAAATCACTGCAATCAGTTATTTGTGTTCAATGCTACAATCTAATAGGGACTCTGTTTATTCCATAATGCAGAGAATCAGTGTAGTTCTACTGTGATTGTTCAGACTGGCTGAGCCTGTGATGTAAAGTACATGCTGATTGGTCTCTGGTTTTCTGAAATCCCACAAAAACCTAAAGCATCATAACAACGGCCATGTTGTCAGAGTCCACAAAGTGACGGCCATGTTGTGTGAATGTTTATGGAGCATTCACTCTGTTGTGATCCATTTTTCTTCTGTACATTTTTCAGCATCTTTCTCGTTCCACAATTTTTAAGCTATTTCAGCAAATCATTTATCAAAACGTTCAGCTCTTTCAGGAAAATCCTGCTGTGACTTTTGGTATTGGTTTAACTTTAGCTTTTTAAAATATTTAGCCTTTTCTGACATTTTTTCCTAATAGAAAATTAATTGAGTTCATTTTACATCCTTCAAATTTTTAGATCTGTTTACAACTTTTTACTGCTCCTTTCACATTTTGTTCAGCTTCTTTCAGCTTCCTGGAGCAAATCTAAACATTTTTTCAGCTAATTTCAGCTGTTTTTCAGCTGTAGTTTGATCCTTTTAGATTATTTCTGATAACTACAACATTTTTGTGCTTCTTCAAACTTCTTTCTGCTAATTTCAGCTTGTTATGCTCCTTTCAGCTTACGCAAGTTTCAGCCTTTTCTGCTATTTCAGCTACTATTTAGCTGTTTTATGCTAATTGTAGCTATTTTGGCTAACTCCACATTTTTTGCACTCATTTAAACTTTTTCAGCATAATTCAGCGAAAAAGTGCTCTCTACCTCCTTTTGGTAATTTAAGCTTCTTTATGCTTTTTTTAAAGCTAATTTCAGTTGTCTTTTGCTAATTTAACCTTTATTCAGAGACCACATCTTTTTTGGATTCTTCTACCTGGATTATTGAGCATGCATCAGGATACTTTATTCAGAGAATTTCTACTTTTTTGTACAAATTTTGTACTAATTTCTGCTTCTTTCAGCCTAATTGGATGAACATGGCTTCTTACTTCAGCTAATTTAAGCTTGTTCTGTTTTATTTATTTGTTTTATTTATTAACCTTAATTTAACCATGCAGGCAAATCTCATTGAGATCACAGATCTCCTTTGCGAGGCGCCTGAAGACAGACTAACATGCATGTTTTTTATCTGTGGGAGGAAACTAGAGTACCTGGAGAAAACCCATGCAAGCACAAGAAGAACATGCAAACTCCACACAGAAAGATCCCAGGTCCAACCGGGGATTGAACCCAGGACCTTCTTGCTGTGAGGCAACAGTGCTAACCACTGAGCCGTCGTGCTGTTTTCAGCTATCTTTTTATATTTTTTTTACTAATTTTAGCTGTTTTCAAATAAATTTAGTTTTTCTTTATAATTTCTGCTACTTTTTAACTTCTTTCTGCAAATTTAGCTTGTTATGCTGCTGTCAGCTTTTTTCTGCTAGTTTCAGCTTTTCTGCTATTTCGGCTGATATTTAGTTGTTTATATGCTAATTTTAGTCCATCCATTCATCCATCCATTTTCTTCCTCTTATCCGGGGTCGGGTCGCGGGGTAGCAGCCTAAGTAGAGAGGCCCAGACTTCCCTCTCCCCCACCACTTGGGCCAGCTCCTCCAAGGGAATCCCAAGGCGTTCTCAGGCCAGCCGAGAAACATGGTCCCTCCAGTGTGTCATGGGTCTTCCTCCGGGCCTCCTCCTGGTGGGACATGCCCGGAACACCTCACCAGGGAGGCGTCCAGGAGGCATCCTAACCAGATACCCAAGCCAACTCAACTGGCTCCTCTCAATGTGGAGAAGCGGTGGCTCTACTTTGAGTCTCTCCCAGATGACGGAGCTTCTCACCCTATCTCTAAGGGAGAGCCCAGACACCCTGCGGAGAAAACACGTTTCGGCCGCCTGTATCCATGATATCGTTCTTTCGGTCACAACCCAAAGCTCATGACCATAGATGAGGGTAGGAACGTACTTTGTAGATTGACCGGTAAATTGAGAGCGTCACCTTTTGATTCAGCTCTCTCTTCACCACAACAGACTGGTACAGCACCCGCTTCACTGCCAATGCTGCACCTTTCTGCCTATCGATCTCTTGCTCCATTTTCCCCTCATTCATGAACAAGACCCCAAGATACTTGAACTCCTACAATTGGGACAGGACCTCCTCCCCGATTCGAAGAGGGCACTCTACCCTTTTTCTGGCTCAAGGCCATGGCCTCTGATTTGGAGTAACTGATCCTCATCCCGGCCGCGTCACCATCGGCTGCGAACCGCTCCAGCGAAAGCTGTAGATCACAACCTGATGAAGCCAATAAGACCATCTGCAAAAAACAGAGAAACGATCTTAAGGCCACCAAAACAAATCCCCTCAACACCTTGGATGCACCTAGAAATTCGGTCCATAAAAGTTATGAACAGAATCAGTGACAAAGGGCAACCTTGGTGGTGTCTAACTCTCACCAGGAATGAGCCTGACTTGCTGCCGGCAATGCGGACCAGGCTCTGACACTGGTCATGCACGGATCTAACAACCCGTATCAAAGGGCCTGGTACCCCATACTCCCGGAGTATCCCACAGTGTTCCTGAGGGACGTGGTCAAACGCCTTCTCCAAGTCCACAAAGCACATGTAGACGCACCCTACAGGACCCTGCTGAGGGTGTAGAGATGGTCCAGTGTTCCACGAACAGGACAAAAACCGCACTGCTCCTTCTGAATCCGAGGTTTGACTATCCGACAGACCCTCCTCTCCAGAACCCCTGAATAGACCTTACCAGGGAGGTTTAAGAGCGTGATCCTGCTGTAGTTGGAACTACACTACACTTCAACACACACTTTGAATAGGTGGACCACCACCCCAGTCTGCCAATCCAAGGGAAATGCCCTCGATGTCCACACAATATTGCAGAGACTTGTAAGCCAACACAACCCCACAACTTCCAGAGCCTTAAGGAACTCCGAGCAAATCTTATCCACCCCCGGGGCCCTGCCACCGAGGAGCTTTTTAACCACCTCAGTGACCTCAGCATCAGAGATTGGAGAGCCCGACCCAGAGTCCCCAGGCTCCGCTTCCTCAGTGGAAGACGTGCCGGTGGGATTGAGGAGGTCTTCAAAGTATTCTGTCCACCGACCCACGGCATCCCGAGTTGAAGTCAGCAGCACACCACCTCCACTATAAGCAGTGTTGGTGATGTACAGCTTCCCCCCGAGACGCTGGATGGTGGACCAGAATCATCTCAAAGCCATACGGAAGTCATTTTCCATGGCCTCTCCGAACTCGTCCTGAGTTTTTGCCTCAGCGACCACCCGAGCCACATGCCACTTAGACTGCCAGTACCCATCAGCTGCTTCTGGGGTCCCACAGGCCAAAAAGGCCCAATAGGACTCCTTCTTCTTCAGCCTGACAGCATCCCTCACTGCTGGTGTCCACCACCGGGTTCAAGGGTTACTGTAGCGACAGGCACTGATAACCTTGCAGTCATAGCTCCGATAAGTCGCCTCAACAATAGAGGCATGGAACATGGCCCTTTGGGACTCAATGTCCCTCACCTCCCTGGAACGTGTTTGAAACTCTCCCAGAGGTGGGAGTTAAAACTCCATCTCACGGGAGACTCTGCCAGACATTCCCAGCAGACCCTCACAATACATTTGGGCCTGCCAGGTCTGACCGGCATCCTCCCCGTTCATCAGAGCCAACTCACCACCAGGTAGTGGTCAGTGGACAGCTCCGTCCCTCTCTTCACCCGCGTGTCCAAGACATGCTCCCACAGATCAGATGAGACGACAACAAAGTTGATCATCAAACTGTGACCTAGGATGTCCTGGTGCCTAGAGCACATATGGACACCTCTAAAAAAGTTAAGTCTGGTCCTGTGGACATTCAAAACAAACAAACAAACAAACAAACAAACAAACAACCCCCAAAATACATTACGGCAAAGACTGGTTCATCCCAAAGATCCAGTCTCCCGGCACAAACAGAGTAATATTGTGTATGCTGTTCAGTGTCAGGAGGGCTGTGATCAGTCTTACATCGGGGAAACTAAACAGCCACTGGCCAAAAGGATGGACCAGCACAGAAGATCAACATCATCAGGCCAGGACTTTGCAGTCTACACTCATCTCCAGGTCGGCAGTCACTCTTTTAGGGATGAAGATGTCCACATCCTGGATAGAGAGGAACGATGGTTTGAGAGAGGAGTAAAGGAGGCCATCTTTGTAAATAGAAACCATCCATCATTAAACAGGGGTGGAGGCCTCCGTGTTCAACTGTCCCCCTCTTACAATGCTGTTATTGCTAGTATCACTCAGCCCCCTGTGAATAGCAAACAGCCATCAGTGTGCTAATGATCCATTGTTAGGCTGATGGTCCTTCTTGACCATGTGAGCAGCTGGTTTTGGTTGTCAGGAGCAAACTGGTTGATCCACTACGAGAAGGTGCTATTTATAAGACTGAGCTGAATACAGCATCTCAGACTGAAGAAGTCTTTCAGTTGAAAGAAGAAGACAATCCATGACAAACACAGAAGTCCAATAACAGAACACCACTCGGGTTCAAATCGGGGTGGGGGTGGGGGGCTTCCTCCCAACCACACCCCTCCAGGTCTCACTGTCTTTGCCCATGTGAGCGTTGAAGTCCCCCAGCAGAACAAGGGAGTCCCCAGGAGGTGCACTCTCCAGTACCCCATCCAATGACTCCAAAAAGGGTGGGTAATCTGAACTGTCGTTTGGCGCATTAGCACAAACAACAATCAGAACTCGTCCCCCCACATGTAGGCGGAGAGAGGCTACCCTCTCGTTCACCGGGGTGATCCCCAACGTACAGGCACCAAGATGGGGGGCAATAAGTATGCCCACTCCTGCTCGGCGCCTCTCACCAGGGGCAACTCCAGAGTGGAAGAGTGTCCAACCCCTCTCAAGGAAACTGGTTCCAGAGTCGAGGTGAGTCTGACTATTTCTAGCCGTAACCTCTTAACCTCACACACCAGCTCAGGCTCCTTCCCCACCAGTGAGGTGACATTCCACGTCACAATAACCAGCTTCTGTAGCTGACGATCAGACTGCCAAGGTCCCCGCCCTCGGCCACCACCTATCCCACATTGCACCCGACCCCTTTGGCCCCTCCCACAGGAAATAAATAAGAAATAAGAGTTAAAGTTTAAATTTTCAGCATTGAGCTTAAATGGTTCTCAAAACCAAAATTCAAGTGATTAACGCAAGTGCTCATTTATAAACATTTCCAAGGTTTAATGTTTGCATAAACAACTAAAATACAGAAAGCCCATGGGAAGGCTAATTTTAGTATTTTCAGCTAATTCCACTTTTTGTTTTTAGCACATTTCATCTCTTTCCGCTTCCGTCTGGTAGTTTAAGCTTCTTTATGCTTTTTCAGCTACTTTTTGCCTTTTTTTTGTTGCTAAATTCAGCCTTTTTAGCTAATTTCCTATTTTTTGTGCTAATTTCTGCTCATTTAAACCTAATTCACCAAATATGTTTTCTTTCTGCTTTCTTCTGCTACTTTAGGCCTTTTCTTCCATTTCATCTATATTTAAGCTTTTTTTTTTATTTTTTTTTAGCTAATTTCAGCTGTTTTTCAGCAAGTTCTTCTGCAATAAGCATTCACACTGCATTTTCACAGTTAATGCAATTTCTCTAAACAATTGATGACTTTTTCCAAATTCCATTTGACTATTTGAGAATCAGTCAAGCTGGACTTCTGGAGACAAAATCTTTGTCTTTAGAGTCTCCTCTTAACTGGCGTGAACACTGAACACATCACGGCAGCGGACAGATGCAGACACTGAACGCATCGCCGCAGCTAGAAAACAGCGCTGTCGTTTTGGAAATTAAACATTTCGTCACACAAGTAGAAAAGGAGGAGATTAATTATTTTAAAAGTCTAAAAGATAAACTTTGAAATGTACTATTAAAAAACAACAGCTCGTTAAAGTTAACATATTTTTCTTTATTAACAGGTAACTGTGCCCATTTCCATAAAGGAGGATGGTGGTACAACGCCTGTGGTCAAGCCAACCTGAACGGTGTCTGGTACACTGGAGGGGTCTACCGCAGCAAATTCCAAGATGGGATGTTCTGGGCCGACTATGGTGGAGGGTTCTATTCCATGAAGTCTGTCCGTATGATGATCAGACCTATAGACTGAGAACTTGTTGATCCTCGGTGGAACAAGGCTTCTTCAAGCTGAGAGCTGGCCGCCTGCATCAACAGACACATGTTTAGAAGGTTAAAGCTCAGGACTGCTGCTGATAAACAACCAGCTTCTCTTTACATCAACACACACAGAACAAGAGGCCTTACTGAAGTGGGTTCTGTGGAGACAATTAGTTTACCTGCTCTAAAGCTCTTTGATCAGTGTCAGTTTGGAGAAATAAGAATTAAAGTTTAATTTTTCAGTATTGAGCTTAAATGGTTCTCAAAACCAACGTGAAGCTTGCACACAAACAATAAATATGAAGAAAGAAGACAATGTCCTGGGATCATGGAGAATAGATGTAAAAACTCCAGGGTTGTATTTCAAGTTTATTTCTTTGAAACCCCCAGAATGTGATTTTGAGGCTCCTAAAGTTTCATTTCTGCAACAACCATGAGGGCACCTTAGATGAGACAAGTTTAACTTGTCAGTACTGACAGAATGGACCCCCTCCAAATCAGATTTTACTCCATTAAACATTCAAACTCCTCCAGATTTTACTGTTCCATTTGTTTCTGAATGACATGGTGGTTTTGGTGGAAATAATAGATACCACTGCTGAAAACGCCCCAACGTTCTCCACTAACGCTACAGCTACCAGCAAATAACAACTCCATGTAAATAACTGTGTGATGAAAAATGTAAAGCAGCAGTAATGTTTCTAAAATGATATTTGAAGTATTATGAAAGTTTGGTGAATCTAAACATTTTCATTTTGGGACAGTTCCTGTGCCTCACCTGTCCAGTTCTACTTAAACTGTTCCTCCAAACTGAGGCTGTTCAGACAGCTATCTGTCGCAGGTGAGATAGTGACTGTTCATAACATTTTCACAGGCCTTTGCTTCAAAAGTGGCCAAAGTGTCCCTTTAATGTCACATCCCAGGGTTTTACCTCACCAAAGAAATACCTGCTGCAAACACTCGTACTTTTATTACTTTGTTCTACATGTTGGAGCGGAACAGCCTATTTTACTGATGCCTGTATGCATGAGAGTACTGTACTCTGAGTACTCTGTGTACTCTGAGTACCGGTATGTACTCTGTGCATTCTTTGTGCTCTGTGTACTCTGAGTACTCTGTGTATTCTGTGCACTCTGTATACTCTGTATTCTTTGTGCTCTGTGACACAAAGTACTATGAGTATTCTGTGTGTTCTGTGTACTCTGAATACTATGTGTACTTGGTGTACTCTGAGTACTCTGTGAATTCTTTGTGCTCTGTGTACTTTGAGTACTCAGTACGCTTTGTATTCTTTGTGCTCTGTGTACTGAGTACTCTGTGTACTCTGTGTATTCTTTGTGCTATGTGTACTCTGAGTACTGTGTATTATTTGTGCTCTGAGTACTCTGTGTATTGAGTACTCTGAGTACTGTGTATTATTTGTACTTGTACTGTTTCAGCTCTAACTCATAGTTCCAGACAACAACAGTGTTTTTGCTTCAGAACCCGACACCTAACTCAGCCTTCACTCTGCACGTTTTATTACTTTGCGTGCGTGCAGATGAGTAGGAAGTATAATGTATGTGTGTAATGAAGTTCTCCTGCGAGTGGAAAGGACCAGGTGTCCTGAGGGGGCAGTAAATGATCCGACTGGACCACTTTCCTCCGCTGTAAATAGACGTGTCCCTCTCAGAGTGTGCTGGCTCATATGGAAACTGCTCCTGTGTTTTTCTCATTTTGGACTCTGATTAAAAGTTTGGTGTGACTGCAGGAAACGCAAGTGTTGTTGAAAAGAAAAAAAAAATCATATTTATTCTTCTTTGAGTGGTTTTTGAGCACAAAAATGTGCCTACCAAGCACAGTGGGGTTTAAGTGCTGGGACAGACAACGAGAACCAGATTTCTGGAGAAAAGCAGGACTGAGAAAGAAACAAAGAGTTTGAGGGCATGAACTGGAGTCAGTCCAATTTTCCAAATTTGTTTTTCCCCATAAAACCTCGCTCTTGTTTTATTTAAATAATCTTCTTGACTTCTGTTTTTGTGAAACGGTCCTTCACTGACAGTCGTGGGTCAGTCTGTGGTCTCTACCAGAGACAGACGTCTTTATGTCCAGAGACTGAAGCTGTGGGGTCTGTGTTAACAACAACTCTGCATTCAAGGCAAGCACATCGAAAACAGACTTTTATATTGAGGTTTTTTATATTTCACCATGAAGGGCTCCACAAGTCCACAAGAACCCAGTAGAGGTTCTGGTCAAACCCAGCTGGACACCCAGACATGAAAACTACAATGAGAATTATTGCGCAATAAAAGTTGAAAGTAGTGAGTCACCTTGGCAGAGCTTTGTTTCATAAAACCCAGAACATTTGTGGAGCCACGAGTCACTCATTCTGACACGACTTGTTTTATAATTTCTAACAAGCCCCAGTCTAGACTACTTTATTTGTCTGTGTCAACATCAATGCACTTTTTCTGACGCCCCAACTCTTTAAATGTAAACGTGAAAAGTTTAATGTTTTCTCAGGCTGGTATATATTTTTTATTATTTTGCTTCAGACAGCAGTAAGTCCTCTGTAATGTCCAAGTTCTTGTTGTGTGTTGGTTTTCAGAGTTGCTAAGAGGGTCCGAGAGTGTTTCTGTCCAGTTCACATGTGTTTTGTGGATCTGGAGAAGGCTTTCAACCATGTGCCCCCTGAGGCATTTAGTGGGAGGTGCTGGAGTGTTCGGGTCACTTTTAATGGATCTTTGGTTCCTGTAGAACTAAAACAAGAGCCATGTCCACATCCTCAGCCTTGTCTCTAAGCCTATGGGTGGCGGTTCATGGCTCGGTCGTGGAGAGGAGGGGGTCTGGGAACCTCGGCGTCTCATCGCTGCTGTTTGCAGATGATGTGGTTCTGTTGGCATCTTCAGGCCATGACCTTCAGTGTGCACGGAGGCGGTTTGCAGCTGACTGTGCAGAGGCTGCAATGACGGATAGTTCCTGTAAATTCAAGTTTATGAACCAGAACAAAGTGGAATGCTCTCTTCGAGTCAGATATGATTTTATCTCAAGTTCAAGTGTCTGAGAGTTTTGTTTGTGTGTGAAGTCAAGATGATGAGAGACAGAGCAACGGATCAGGCTTCTGCTGTTTCCACTCCATCAAAGGAAAAAAGGAGCAACCCTCCATTTACTCCTCCATCTACGCTGCACTGCTCAGCAATGGTCATGACATATGGATGTTGTTCTTCTGGTCATTGTATACACCGCATGACTATAAGCGATGGTTGGAGCAATTAGGAATTAGGTTTCTTGCTTGGAGGCACCACAACATGTGGGAATGGCTGGGGATTGAACCTAGAGCTTTTGGTTCCCTGGTCGGCTGCCCTGCCTCTACCCCATCTCGACCCCTAGATAGATAATCACACATAGATAGATTTATCTATCTGTGTGTGATTATCTATCTATCTATCTATCTATCTATCTA